ATCTCTCATGAAGATCGTGTTTATACTGTTATCAACTTAGTGCGTTCTCATAGTTTAAAAAACTTCCCCATCTCATAAAAATTGGTTCTAATTAGCGTGTCTTGCACGCAGGCACACCTCCTTAGTACTAGGAAATTTTATGGAAGAAAATCTTGCAGACAAAAAAGATGAGGAACGAGAGTTTGTCGGGTTTTTTTTTTTGATTTGTTGGAAGCTTTTGATTTTGATGGTTTTCAACTGCTATTTGAATTTTATATTTCTGAGTTATCAAATAAAGATAATTTTTGTGGTCATTTTCTTGATCAACACAACACTTCGAGGAAGTCAATTAGTGAATTCTTTGAACTATGAAAATTTGTTCGTATAATGAGAAGGCTGCAAGAAAGTTTCACGAAGTAGGGTCCCAATTGAATCGTATGGTGTTAAATTCATATTGAATCATTACTGGTTTGTATCGAACATTAGTCAAACCCAACTCATTTAATTAATTGTGTCGTGTCGAGTTATGGGTTGACTTATTTATTTTCATATCGTGTTCGTATTCGTATTCGTATTGACCCACATAAACTTTGAATAAAAAATTTAACGTTAATATTATATTTTCACTTAATTGAATCCATGTTAATATTTTTTTATAAACTACAAATTAACTTAAATAAATATAATAATAAGTAAAAAAAAATTTATACAATAATTATGTCAGTACTTAGTAAATAGTTACAAATAATTAACATTTTATATCTATAATGCTAATTAAACATGTTAATTTTGTGTTACCATACAAACTAGAAAATAGAAAAAATGATTATTTTTAAATAAACGGGTTGGTGATGTCAATTTTGAATTTAACAGGTTAAACTGATATGAGTCTTTTATATTTCTTGTTCGCGTGTCAAGTCATTTATAAATTCGTATCGAGTTATAATCAAGTTCGTGCCACAAATTTTATGTCGAGTTCGAGTCTTGTCATCTTGTTGAGCCGAAAATTTTCACCCCCAGGTAAGATGGAAAAAATATTTTTTTTAATTTAAAATTTTTATTTTTATTTTTAAAATTTTTTAATATATATAAATACATATTTTATCATTGTATTTTTATATAAAATAAATGTATATATAATATATGTATATATCAAAAGATATATAGACAAATATGATACATCTTAACACAAATAATTAACTTTTCATTCATTTTCTTTCCGATTTTGGAAGGATTGATTTTATTGAGTTGGAAGGAAAGTTAATTCATCCACTTTTTCATTTTTTCTATTTTTCTTGCTTACCAAATATGTTGTTTTATTTATCCCTTTGATGGGACATTTCCAGAAAGGGCCTGAATCGATTACATGTGCCCTTGCCCCCGAGGTACTCCTCTCGGCTTTGAGAAGTCCACGTGTCCTCGGCCTCAATTTCCCCCTCCTTCGATCGAGGGGTTCCTTGACGCCGAAGCGAGCTTCCTCGGCCTTGAGTAATTAAACTCCCTCGGTCCTAAGGGTGTTCGTCAGCCTCATGATAAGCTTTTGAACCCTAAAAAAGGTTAGTCGCTGACAATCGAGATGACCTACAATGGGCTAATAGCCATGATGACATTGTAAGAAAGTCAAAATAATAGGTTGAATTGGATGTCCAGCCAAAGGGAACCAGACACGTGGCACAAAGCGCAAGATAAAGGGTAAAAAGACAGAGTTACCCCTCCTGACATGCGACTACCGTAGACAAGCATTTTTTGGATCTTCAATTGATGGGATATATGATATGGCTTCGAGAGCCAAAGAGCAAAGGCATTAAATGCGTCTGGGTCCGAGCATTAAGTATCCTCACATCGAAAAAAGGGTATTAAATGCTCGACAGCCTGAGCACTTAATATTGGAACATTTCCCATGCAGAATAAGAGGCACACTGTCCTATCTCTGAAGGCTACTAGTAGCCTAAGTCAACAACAATGATGAGTCTATTAAGGTATAAATAACCTTCAAAAACACATTACAAAGGTACGTGCAAAATCATTCTTTGAGAACCAACGTTTTCTTCTTCCCCTAAAAAGGAACTGACTTGATCGTTGGAGGGGATATACCAAAAAACACTCCGGCGTCCCTCTAACATTTTTTTGTGTTTCAGGAATTTCTTGTGAACTTCCGGAATCGGTTTGACATCACCAAAAGTAATTAATCACCACTCCTTAAGCCCCTTTGGCTCTCTCATCCTATTCTTTGTTGCTGGATCTACAGTTTCGACAAGTCAAATCTCACCCGGAATCGATCGAATACCCCCAAGAACAAATCATTACAACGGTTTAAGCCTCCTTTGGCCCTCTCAACCTATTCTCATTCCGTCAAAACCGCCTACTCGACGAATCAAAGTTCACCGTGGGAAAGATATGTCCTCATCCCAACCATTGTGCGTAATTCAGCATGCACACCCTCTAATTTTCTATCCTTCCAACTTTTTATTCTTCTATTTTTTTATTATACCAAAAATAGCCTGTGGCTAGTTTTTTGATTTATATTTCATTTAAATTTCTATTCCCGAAGCAGAAACAGGCAAGGACTTTATTAGAATCTATACAGGAGTGGAAAAGATTAATCGCAAGTGCCTCAAGTGCAACACATGTGGATAAGTACAGACACACCCAATTGTTTCTTTTTTTTTTTTGGTCAGCGACACACCCAATTGTTTCAAGTAATGAAAATTTGAGGTATGAATTTTTAGGGGCTTAAGAATTTTTATAAATTGTTCTATGTGATACGAGTCTTAATCAGTCAACTGAATAATATAGATTTTATGTGGGTATTACTTTCACAAAAAAGCGGTAGTTTTTTTTGTGTCTTTCTATTAACCACTCCATCAATCTTTAGCCCACGAAACCCAATTTCAAGCATCTAGACGAGTTCACTAAAAAAATCAATACCACTCAAAGTCACGAGTAGATGTAACCGTTCACCAAGAAAATTAGAAAATACATAAAATTGACCACATTATCTTACATGGAGGTGAGTAACATATTATATGGATAAGTGATTATTTAATTTTGTGAGACTAATTTACTTTTTTGTTCATTTATTAATGGACAATTATATCATGTGATATTGTTGACATTGTGGAAGCGAACTTGGTTTTAGTTGATTGGTGAAAATAAATTGGAGCACCTCCACTAAATTGAAGCATTTGAGCCTTTGATTTCTCTAATAAGAACCAAACCGGAAGTAGCCACCTTCTAAGCACCACATTCGTAGAATTGGCAAAACAAAATCCACTTTGCAATAGAATTTCGATAATGTTAAAGTGATCAAATTTTGGGATCAAATTTAGAGTTCAAATGATATGACAGCTGACTTAAGCTTTTTTTTTTGGTGTCATGTCATATGAGCCCTAATAAAAATTTCAAATAACATGTTGTCATGTTATTTAAGCTCTATATTTGGTCCTAAAATTTGATCAGTGCAGCATTACTCATAAAATTTTTCACTCATAGAATTTTCCAGAGCTTCTGTAGTAGAGGGAAGATTGGTGCGTGGGCCACGACTTCAATTTCTGGTGGAGATGGTCTGCCGGATATACTGTCATCAATGATGGTGAGCTTTTTTCGGTACATCGTCGGTGATGTATTTCGGTGTGGAGCTAGTTTTCATAGAGAGAGAAGGGGGAGGGGGGAGTTGAACGGAGGTAGGCGGTCTGGTCGTGGTAGTGGAGAGAGGAAAAAGACAGAAGATTGAGATGTGGACGAGGGTCATTTTTGCCATTTTCAATTGGCATTTTTTCATACCCTTTCTCACATGATCCGTTTAAATGGATGGAAAATATAAAAATTCCGATTAGTTCACTAACAACATGGGATTAGGTGGCTTTTCCTTTTTTTTTCTTTGCCCTAAATAATACATGTGGATCACTACAAATGCTTGCTTTCTACAAGCCCAACTTTTCTTTAAATGAGCGTTCATGTGAGATCAAGTCTCGGATTAAATGTTCTTACAAGAATGATAGTTGTATGTTTATCTAATTTTCTCCCTCCTAAGTCTTTATTCTCTCAATTCTATTAAACTTTAAATTTTAAAATTATTAAATTCACGTCTTCTATAATCGTTCTCTACGGACTAAGTTTACCCATTTTATTATATATATACACTCAGACTAAAGAGTGTCCACCATAGTCCTTTTGTGAATCCGCCACTGTTGGAAATCACTCCTGCCCATTAGAATCAATTATTAACTAATTCATCTGCAAAATGGAATCTGCAATAGTTGATTTTCCTCTCCAAACATGACTAAGAATATATGCATTTAGTAGAGGTTTCGTGAAAAATAATGATTAGATGAAGGAGGAAAGGCGACATCTGGCTTGTAATTAGTTATTGGGTCGCTAAAACAACACCTAATACCTTCTCTCCACCAGCTCCAGTCCAACCACTCCCCTTGTATCCTTCTCCCAAACCCTCCCATAATTGGGCCCCACTTTGTCAAAATAGCTTTGATGTCTCCTTCATCTTTGCCGATTGCCGATTGCCTCTTGCTTCAAACTTCTCTTTGGTTAAAGGTTTCGTCATAAAGATTTTGGTATTAATATTTTTTTTATATATCATACAAAAAAAGAAAAAGAATGAGCTGATCAAGAGAGAGTTATCTCTCATAGATATTTTAGTCTCATTATAAATAGTTTGACTTTGATTTGTTTGATTTGATAGGAAAAAATTAGTTAAGATGTTCGAAAATTAGTGTGAACACCTCTAATTAGTGAATTAAAAAAAATACTAGTTATTAATTTTTATGTGATTATTTTGTAATTTTTAATTACAAAAATAATAAAATAACAAATTTTACGCATGTCGTATTTTTATTTGACGAGAAAAGGAAATACGGTGGCGGTAGTAGTTGCACCAGGGATGGGGAATTTAGCTTCTTTAAATCAGACCCCCTCTCTCAACCATAGTCCGGACCTACAAAACCATCCCAGAACTCTCTCTCTCTCAGACAGACATACAGTCACAGACACACACCCCTCGAAAGATGAAGGACAATGTCAATGGCGGCACAAAGCTAATTCTGCTTCATCCCTACATCCAAAAACAAGGAAGTTCCAACCGTCTATGGCTTCTAGCTTTCATTTCATTCTTCACTCTAGCATTCCTTCTCACCCTCATCTATACTAGAGAATCCATCACCACAACCACCCACGCAGCTGCCTCGGCCGCCATGGCCTCCGGCAATCCTCCAATATCAAAAACTATCGTTAAAGCCCTTGTCCACTACGCTTCAAACTCTAACGACACCAATCACATGTCACAGACAGAGATCAAACAAATCTCCGAGGTCCTCCGGCAATGCTCATCTCCCTGTAACTTCCTTGTTTTCGGCCTTACACCCGAAACCCTTCTCTGGAAAGCCCTCAACGACAATGGCCGTACTGTTTTCATCGACGAAAACCGGTATTACGCAGCGTATGTGGAGGAAAAATACCCAGAAATTGAAGCCTATGATGTTCAGTACACAACCAAAATGAGTGAAATGAAGGAAGTTATTGCAACAGTGAGAGAACAAGTGCGCAATGAGTGCAGGCCAGTGCAGAACCTATTGTTTTCCGAGTGTAAGCTTGGGCTTAATGACCTTCCAAACCAATTCTATGATGTGGATTGGGATGTTATATTGGTGGATGGACCAAGAGGGCACTGGCCAGATGCCCCCGGACGGATGTCAGCGATTTTCACAGCCGGCGTGCTGGCGAGGAGCAAGAAGGGCGGTAACCCTAAAACACATGTTTTTGTGCATGATATTAATATGGAGGCAGAGAGAGTTTCTAGTGAGGAATTCTTATGCAAAGAGAATTTGGTGAAGTCTAAAGATTTTCTTGGGCATTTTGTGGTGGAGAGAATGGATGTAAATAGCTTTCAGTTCTGTCGCAACCATTCATTAGCGTCAACCTCATCATCCTAAAGATTGTTATGATGATGATCATCAACAAATAATTAGCTATAGTCCCTTTCTGGGTCAATGTTATAAAGAGGGGAATTTGATTATTTATGATCTGTCAAGGTTTTACCTTTTTGTTAGTTTTGGGGCATGTAAAAATAAACTTTTTGATAGTGGAAGGATTTTAATTTCACTGAAAGAGAAGGAATTGTTTGTCATTTAGATGAGTTTTTTTATTTATTTAATGTCAAGGTGCACCAAATGGAGAAATAATATATATGGGTTCAGACTTCAAACGGTATGGGTCACTTAAATGGTAGAATTTGTAAACGATTTGATCACATTGCATGATTTGTCATGTTCATGCCTGGCTCAACCACCAGAATAATTGATTGGCAAGAAAAACTACCAAAATCATAAAAAAAATGTATAAAGTTGACTTAGATTGAATGATGCAGTGATCATGCAATTGTTTAATTATGATCTAAATTCATGCATCTAATTCACGAAAACACGAACAATTTCTCTGCATACAAGTTAAATACTGCGTATATATAATAAACTTTTAATCTATAATATGGGATCCTCCTACACCCTTTTTTTTTTTTTTTTTTTTCTTTTTTCGGTTTAAGCGGACATCCCAAATGGGGACAACAAATGACAAGACAGTTTACATTGTTCGCTAAAGAGAGAGCCTGGCAAGGAGAGGACCCTTCAAGTTTCAATAAGACATAAACTAAAAAATAAAATGAAAGCATCTGCCAGCCTAGCAATGGTATCTCTTGTTCCAGGGAATTCAGTCACTGATATTGAAGAAGAAAATGAGGAACAATTAGTCCACAAATATTGGTCAAAATTACACAGTGACTATCACGGCAATATGACTTTGGCTTATCAGCAAATGAAAAAAGATTTTTTTGGTTGTGAGTATAATTTTTTAAACTTATTTGAGAAAAAATGTATAAATAAGTTATTTACTCTATTAAGTTCAATTTTAATAAAACATATTGTGTTTAGGTATAAAATACAAATGAAATCAAAGCTACTTTATCTAAATACCCTCCCTTAAATTATGTATTTTTGATTGACAGTTATATATCAAATTATATATGTAAAAATTTTATTAGACTATCGCACTATCTCTCCCATATTTTCTCTTCATCTCTCTATCTTTCCCCATTATTTTCCCCATCTATCCCCTATTTTCTCTTTATATATATCATTGATAATTTTTTTTTTTCAAATATGTAAAGATTTGATTTTTTTTTCATATCTCTCTCCCCTATTCTCTCTCTCTCTCTCTCTATTTATATCAACATTACAACTACACAATTATACTAATCAGTTATACCAATCAGTTACAATTGTCTTATAATACACCAAACAGTTACTCTCACATTCTAATAAACCAACTAGTTATACCAAACAATTACACAAATTTATAGCACTAACTTAATTTGTCATTTAATTGTTTACATAAACTAAATAGTTACACTATTTAGTATCGTGACATTGTTATACCAATCATATATGTCAAATTTAGTACAATGATAAAGTCTTTTGTGTAATGATAAACCCAATTTTATGTATATAATTAGTGTAACCATGTCGTGATACTAAATAATATATCTCTTTGATTTATGTAAATAACAAAATAATAAATTGAGTTGGTGTTGTAATTTCGTATAATTGTTTAGTGTACTGCTTAATTTATTATAGGTAATTGTATCTAATTGGTGTAACTGATTAGTGTAATTGTGTTGTATAACATTGATATAAGGAGAGAGAAAAAGGGAGAGAATAAGAAAATAAGGGGAAAGGGAGTGAGAGAGAGAGAAAATAGGGGGAGAGAGATGAAAAAATTAAATCAAATATTTATATACTAGTCATTACTCGTGTTTCAAGACACTATGTTACTTATAAAATTTCAACACACAAAGATAGGATATTTGAATAATTTTAACACATAGTGATTAGATTGGTTTTGAACATTTTTTGTTAGTGCAATTAGTATCTTATTTTTTTTGTATTGGTCACTTATTTTTTTTTAATTGCTGATTAATTTGGGTTTTGAATTTTTTTTTAATTTTTTGAGAATTATAGGTTTTTATACAATAGTGATTTATTTTGGTATGAATAATAACTTGATAATTTTATTTATGGACTATAAATATAATTTAAACTTCATTGATTGATAAGAAGTAAGAAGTAAACATCAACCATCGGTACTAAGATGCGTGATAAGAAAATCTACTTACAGTGTATTCTAAGTATGAATCAGTTTGTAATAAGAAGAATGAAAAATTATATATTAAGTATATAATGATTTTTAATGTAATATTATACCAAAGGTTTTGAAAAAATCAATATACTAAATAAGTTACATGTCCAAAAATTGTGACATTGTCCATTTTGGTACTGATTTTTGTGTTGTAGTAACGGTGTATATGCAATTATTGAGGTCAAATGTTAAACTGTCAAACTTTGAAAAATAAGCACTAAACTTAGAAATATTATGTATTTTATGTGTATTTAATATAAATATTTTTAATTTTATGCAAAGTTTTATCATAAAATTAGAAATTAAACAAAACAAATCTAAATCAAGGAACAAAAAATACATTTTTAACATATAACATTTAATAACAATCAATTAATGATAATACATCCACAATTAAACCACACGAATATTAAAAATTAAAAACAATAAATTATTGTCAAAACATACACCAATAAACCAAACTAAACCAAAAAAATCATCAACGATAAACAATAATGAGAACCAGTGAGAGTAATTCTGGAGGTTAGATCACAGCCAATACAATTTGAATGGAAGAGAGTGGATGGTCGGAGTGGATAAGTCCAGTGGATCTCCAGATTATGTTGTGCATCGCTGAAAAATGTATGTCCATTGTTGGAGTCTGAACAGAGAGAAGAGAGACTGAGGAGATGACAATAATTTCTGAGAAACTAAGAGAGGTGAGAATGAGGGAAAGAGAAAAAGTTTGGGATGTATGTTAGATAAAATGGGTAGCATGTGAGTGTAATTAAATTGGGTGGGATTCAGGGGTGGAGCCACCCTTAGACCAGGGTGGGCACGTGTCCCCCCTTAATTTTTTTTTTTTTTGACATTAGATATATAATTTTTAAATAAAATTTAGATATATTTAATTGTGTTCACCCTCAAATTTTTTTACAATAAATATATATTTTTTAAAATAAAATTTAGACATATTTAATTATGTCCAACTTATTATTATATTATTGTGATATCGATTAAGATAGACAACTACTTAAATAATAATTATTTTTTAAATAATGTTATTGGAACTAATACATTATGATATTAAATATAATAGTGAGTCCCTACATTTAATAACGTCTACTATTCATCAAATGGTCACAAACCATTGAGTTCCTACCAATTAAAATTTGAATTTTTTTTTTAGTCAAGATATAAAATTAAATTTTGAATTAGATGCGATTACTATTATTCTTAAATTTTTAGACACAGACATGTCCGAATAATTTTTAAACATATCGCATTCATTTTTTTAAAATTATAGGATTAGTTTATTATTGTATAGAAATGAGCGTCATAATGTCATAAATGAAAGACTGTTATTATTATTTTGTATATAGAAAAAAAGTATTTATTGATATCATTGATTTGTAATTCTTTTAAATGATAAACAATAATCAGATTTAATTGTAAAATGATAATAATTAGTCTCATGCAAAGTTTTAATTAATTTATTTTTATTTTTTGTTTGTTTATTCCATGCAAATCGTTTTTTAACCTTTTATGTTTAATCAATTTTTATGCATAATTATAGTAAATATGAATTTATGAACTTCTATGGTCAATTGAAAAAAAAAAAAAATACTATTTAAATCTAATTTGATGACATAATTCAATGCACCCCTTTGATTGAAAGTAAGATTCATTGAACATTGAAATTTATAACTAAAATAACAGTTACATTGAATTAAGTCATTGGTAACATTGATAAAAAAACAATTAAAATTTATTAATGTGCCCACTTTAAAGTATTTTTCTGGCTCTGTCCCTGGTGGGATTTTATATTTGTGCAGGAATGTTAGACTGACCAAATTTTTGGATCAAATTTAGAGTCCAAATGATATGACAGTTGACTTGGGCTTCTTTGGTTGGTGTCATGTCATTTGGGCCCCAATAAAAATTTTAAATAATCAACTGCCATGTCATTTGGACTCCAAATTTGGTCCCAAAATTTGGTAAGTGTAGCATTACTCTATTTTTGTGTGGGATGTGTTGTGAGCCATTGGATTAAGTTTGATGAATTTAGATGAAATTTAGATCATTTAATTTAAAATAAATTCAATTTGAGTTGTTATTGTACTTTTTCAAATTTAAAATAGAGAGGTATGAGAGATAGGAGTGTAGAGTCTTATGATAAGAGACTTCTTCATGAGTGGGAAAAGAAATTCAAGAATAATTGTAAACTGTTAGATCAAAATTTTTGAGATAATCTGAACCGTTTTTTATGTTACGATTACGTTGTCCGTTGGATGTGTTTATGTTTTGTCTCAAAACGATCTGGACCTCTCTTTAACTTTTGGATTCAAATTTCGTTTTACTTTATTATATAGACTAATAATTGCCCGTGTCTGAAGGCACGGCGTAACGAAAAATTAGATTAAAACTCTAATTTACCATAACGTTATCATAATTTACCATACCACCACAATAATTAATACATATTCAATCATCAACACATATCCAACCACCAAANACTAGTAATTGCCCGTGCCTGAAGGCACGGCGTAACGAAAAATTAGAACCACCAAAATTAATACATATTCAATCATCAACACATATCCAACCACCAAAACATCAAGTTAATCTCTACTAATTTCAAGAAATTTATGCAGAATTTCCTTTAAAAATAGATATACAGAAAAATATAAACATGTCTACAAAATTTACAATCATCACTATATACCCAAACCNGAAAAATATAAACCTGTCTACAAAACTTACA